GTGACAGGGGGTGAGGCCACAACCTCCCTATCTGCCCTGCTCTGTTCGTGACAGGGAAGGCGCAACAACCCCCTGATTGGCCCTGCTCTGTGGGTGACAGGGTGGAGCAGTAACCTCCCCATCGGCCCTGCCCTGAGTGTGACAGGGGGCGGCACCCCAACCCCCCAATCGGCCCTACCCTGAGCGTGACTGGGGGTGGCATCACAACCTCCCGATCCGCCCTGCTCTGTGCATGACAGGGGGCAGCACCCCAACTCCCCAATCGGCCCTGCTCTGAGCCCAACTAGGGACTGCACCTAGGGTTTGGGCCTGCCCTCTGCCACCCGGGAGCAGGCCTAAGCCAGCAGGTCGTTATCTCCCGAGAGGTCCCAGACTGCTAAAGGGCACAGGCTGGGCTGAGGGACACTCCCCTCCTCCCCCCAGTGCACAAATTTTTGTGCACCGGGCCTCTAGTTACAATATAATTGATCATATTCCTTATGCTGTACTTTACATCCACAAGATAATTTTATAACTTCCCATTTATAATACTTAATCCCTTCATCCTTTACACTAGGCCCCCGAATCCCCTTCCCTTCTGGTAACTACCAGTCTGTTCTCTGTATCTCTGAGTATGTTTCTATTTTTTATTGTATGTTTCTATTTTTTATTGTATGTTTCTATTTTTTATTGTATGTTTCTATTTTTTTATTATTTTGTTTTTTAGATTCCACATGTAAGTGAAATCATATGGTATTTGTCTTTCCAAGTCTGACTTGGTTTTCAGGGGAACTTGTGGTTCCCCTTGATCCTCAATTGTAATATACATTTTGTAAATTACTTTTCTTATATTGCACCTACATGGTCTTCGGTCAATACAGAGAGAGATTGGAGCTGCTGTCCAAAGAACTGGAAGCCATTCAGTTTGAACTGCTACTTTATTTCTACTGACACCAAAACTTGGACAGAGAGTAAAAACAGCTGCTCAGCAATGAATTCGCACCTGCTGGTTATCAACACCAAGGAAGAGCAGGTATGTTCTAATAGATAATGAGGTAAGCAATCCTGCCTGGGTTTTGTACACCTATCTTGGCTAAGGAGGATGCTTTCATTGTTTTAGCATATTGGTGCTGTGGCAAAAGGCTTTCAATGAAATAGGAAAGGCTACTTAAGCGTCTACATTTCACACCTTCTTCCTGCTTCCATAAAACTAAACTCCCCCAAAATAAATGAAGACATTTAAAATATAATATGTGGGAGTTGAGTGGAGAGATGAAAGTATTTCAGCCTGAAATATCAGTTTATTATTTTAACATGAAAATGTTTTATAAATTACTTATTTGTTTTAATATATATTTTTTATTGATTTCAGAGAAAGGAAGTGGGAGGGAAAGAGACATAGAAATACCAATGAAGAGAGAGAATCACTGATCGGCTGCCTCCTATATGTCCCACACTGGGGATTGAGCCTGCAAATTGGGCATGTGCCCCAACTGGGACTCGAACCTTGACCTCCTAGTTACTAGGTTGATGCTCAACCACTAAGCCACATCAGCTGGCCTATATATTATTAACTAATAGAGAAGTGATATTAAGTAAAATAGTGGAATAAAATATGTAAAAGAATCTCCGAGGTTATGAAAAGAAAAGGATTCAATATGCAAAAAGTTTACTCATGCATAAGTTTGAAGAATAGCCTCTCTTAGTGAATAAGAGAGTGGGAGTGAGTCTAAGATGAGAATTCATTATGATTATGGATAGAAATCACTTCCATATGTATTGAACATTGCTATGCTCTGAATGTGTGTGTCCTCTCCAAATTTACATGTTAAAACTCTAACTCCCAAAGACGATGGTATTAGGAATTGGGGGTTTGGGGAGGTCCTTAGGTCATTAGGGTGGAGCCCTCATAAATCAGGTTAGTGTTCTTATAAAAGACTCCAAACAGCTTTTCCACCTTCCATCATGTGAGGACATAGCCAGAAGGAGTCAGCTATGACCCAGAAAGAGGGATTTGCCCAATCATGCTCCTACCCTGACCGGGGATTCCAGCCTCCAGATCTGTGAGAAGTATTTGTGTTGTTTATAAGCTACCCAGTCTGTGGTCTTTCATTGTAGCAGCCTGAATAGATGCAGACAAACAGTAGGCTCACAGGATGTCCATGACCCTGTACTGCACAGTCAGAGAAGGCCTGGCCTCCTGGGCAGGACCTCCTGGCTCTTCCTGGCTCCTCTCTTTCTCTTCTCTCTCCCTGAGGCCATAAGGAACTCAGTTCAACCAGAGTACTCCAAAGTCCATAACTCCTTCCTTTTTATTTCCTCAGGATTTTATCATTCAGAACCTGCATAACAGGAAAGAGTATTATGTGGGTCTGTCAGACCCAGAGGGGAATGGAGACTGGCAATGGGTTGATCAGACACCGTACAATGCAAGTGCCACGTGAGTATAGAATTTGATCAAGGAATCCTGAGTCCTGGATCATCAGGTGTTTTAGAGTGTCCGAAGTATAGGGTTTGAAAATAAAATAGCTCAGGCTTCTTGTAACGCTTGGCACTAAGTTAAATAATTTTATTTATTATCCCATCGAATCAACACAAGAACCCTATGGAGCACAGATTATTATTTTTTCATTGTAGAGCTGAGGAAACTGAGTTTAGATAGCTCAGCATGTGTTATCTGGCACTGGTGATAATGGTCCTTAAACCCAGGTCTATTTGATACCAAAGTTTGTATGTTTTATTTTTAAGTCCCCTCACCCCCTTAAATATGTTTCAATTGATTTCTGAGAAAGGAAAGGAGAGGGACAGAGGGACAGAAACATAAATGATGAGAGTGAATCATCTATTGGTTGCCTCCTGCATGTCCCCAATGGCAATTGAGCCCACAACCCAGGCATGTGCCCTGACTGGGAATTGAACTGTGACCCTGGTTCATGGGTCGATGCTCAACCACTGAGCCACACCAGTTGGGCCAAATTCTGTGTGTTTGATCACACATTTGTATCTCTAAATAAACACATAGTCATGTTAATTGAAATCATAACCAACTGTTAATACAGTAGGTCACATGGAGCACATACACAGCAGTAATGAAGTGAAACAGTAAAAAAAATTTAAAAGAAAGATAACAATTCCTGACCTTTCCTTGTGGTAAATAATAAAAAACATAAAGCACATATGTACATACGTCAAAATGATGGAACCTTTTTTTTTTTATAAATAAATGGGAAATGGCTGCGTAACCACGAAGCGATGTACATCGAGTCCGCTGTAACCCAAGGACTGTCTGTATTTATTATCTCTCATAAAGCAAATGAACTAAATTCTGATAGTTTTACAATATCTCATATTTGTGTAGGTCCTTTAAAACTCTTAAGCACTTTAGTACATTACTATTTTTTAAAATTTATTTTTATATTTTTGTTAATACTCACCCAAGGATATTTTTCCATTATTTTTAGAGAGAGTGGAAAGGAGGGGGGGAGAGAGAGAGAGAGAGAGAGGAATATCAATGTGAGAGACACATCGATTGGTTGCCTCCCACACACACCCTGACCAGGGCTGGGACTCACGCCTGCCGTGGAGGTATGTGCCCTTGACCAGAATCTAACCCAGGATCCGTCAGTCCATGGGTCGA